AAATATTCAAGATAGTTTGTTCTAAATGTTTGGCTTTCAGTCGTTTTCTCATGAAAATATCTTTTTTGAAAGAAAGTAAGTGCTATCTCACTATTTCCTGTTAAAAATAATCTTCAGTGGGCATGTCTACATGAGATGCTTTACTGTACAACAGACTAATCTGCTGCATAGTCAAGCATAACCGTCTTCATGTGTGCAACAATTAGGGAACAATAGGCTAATTTTACTACACTGCTGGATAGTCCCATCAGATAAAAGTGGCCTCTGGCAGTGCAGCAAATTACTGTGCTTAAACACAAATGTAGACAGTGATGTTGGGATTAGTTTACTTTGACTCAGATTGAGCCAGAGTATATTCAGTCACATTCATTATATGCATAGAAGTGCCCAGTTTTGAATAAAAAATACTCAGCTGAAAATGTTCACCCTATCATTCCTTGTTGCCTTTAGGCTTCACTGGGAATTTCGAGCTGCCCATTTTGTGATATATGTATGTACTTAGATCATCACTAGGAACAAAGTATTGAAGACAGGCTCACAGTGAGAAAGCCAAGATTACATAACAGTGAAGTGTTACCTGAGTTATGTGGGTGCATCTATTTACAGTAAAGTATCCTGCCCTTGGGTCTTTCAGTTCTACAAAGGGAAACATTGCTCTCCATTTCTTTCAGAAGTCAATGTATTTTTCTGACCTGTCATTAAATGAAAGAAATGGTCTATGCTCCAAGTTGTTTTGGGCTGGAGCATTAATTTGAGAATTTGTTATGAGCAAGAAGTTTGTGGGTTTTTTCCCCATCCAATGACATATAGATGAATTCAGTCTTGTACCTATCAAATCTTCACTCCCAGCCATTTTCAAAAGGGTCTGGTAACTTTGAGTGCCCAAAGGGAATTGCCTTCAGAGCTAGATTTTGGAGTAGAGATGTTAAGCAGGATCTGAAAACTAGCCCTACTTCATAGATATCTCAATTTGGGCCCCACAAGAATTAAAGCACCCCAAATAATTAGTTGCTTTTGGGAATCTCACCCAATGTTTGTGACAAGGCAGCAGCACCTGTTGCAAATCCAGCTGTGTAAGTAACCAGAATCATTCTTTGTCATCCTGGCCCTACTAAAGACAATGCCAAAATTCCCACTGAGTGCAATGAGGCTAGAATCCCATCCATGTCATTTCATACCAGCTTAACTTCTTTTCCTACTCTGATATCTCGAATTCATGTTGCATTGAAGTGACTCTGAACTGTTTATTGACTTTATCTCTAACAGCCAGGATTTCCTGAACTCTCTGTTGCGGTGTTTGGACTGTGATAGGCAGTTGGGCCAGACAAATACTCACAGGAAAGCGTATTTAATGAGTATTGCCAGTATGTATCCTATAATTTATTGAAGTAAACTAAGCAGCTGCCTCAGTGCTCGGAACACTGTGGTCAAATCATTCATAGAATAATGGTAAGATTTCTAAAACAATCTAGTCAGTTAAGTCTGAACCTGGTGAAAGAACAGGAACATTGTTTGCATGTGGATGATGTAGCTAGTTCCAAGTCTAGAGAGGTGGGAAAGCAAATTTAAAATGTTCAAAGGCACTTACCTGAATTAAGAGAGTGAGTTTCAGAAAGATAAAGCAATTATATCAGTATTAAAGGATACTTATACAAGCTGGAATGCAACTGTTACCTCTTCATAGCTCTGTAGTGATACAAGTGTACCAAAATGACCCCAGCTTTAACCTTGCTTCATTCAGGATCAAGCTAGAGTGATTTAGTTCCCCTTGTATCACTCTAATATCATGCAAACAGTTAGTGCATTTATATGTGCCATTAAGGCAGTTTGCACTAGAGTTTATCATGGCACGTTCACTGCATGGGTAGATGCTTAAACTGCTGTGGTCCAGGGAGCACATGCAGATGCTGAGCCCAGGACTGCAGCAGTTTGAGCTGGGGCAGAGCAGCCTGGGGCTCTGGGAAGTGGCAGCAGCAGGGTTGGATGGGTCTGGCCCCATGCTGCCTGAGCTGACTAGGCACAATATATACCTGGGTCAGCATTTACACGTGAGTTTAGGCACAGTTATTTTTGCTATCATTAGAGTACCATCCCCAACAGTACTATCTTATGGTGGCAAAAATTAGTTTGCTGCAGTCTAATTGTGTCACACTTCTAAACTATGATGCTTTACACTGCAACAAATTAGTCTACTTTATAGTTAAGTGTATGTGCCTGAATGTGCGTGTTTAATTGCACTAGTGTTCAATGATTGTGTATGTGGGTGTCTGTGTGTGTATTTGGTAGCCATGTTGGTCTGAGACAAAAAGAAAGGTGAAACTCTAGGACTCTTGGTCCAGATATACCTTTTATTAGACTAACTAAGAAATGTCAAAAAAATTATGTTTGTTTGGAAGCTTTTGGACACGCACCCTTCCTCAGGCTCAGGGAAAATTAAAGATGGTAAAAGTCCCAATAGGTAGAAAATATACTTCATTTTGCACAGAGGAAGATGAAGGCGGGAAGAATAGATTTCCACCTTCAGCTTCCACTGGAGGTGTCTGCAGGCAGTCCCTGCTGGCTGCTACTGCTGGTGGGGTTTGCGGGTGGTCACCAACCCCTGGTTGGCGCTCACCACCCACACCCCTGCTGCCAACAGCAACAGCAGACTCTGCGGGAGCTCCCCCGCTTACTGCCGCCATGCTCCTGCCGCTGCCATGCCCCCCCCAGCTGCCAGGGGCACATGTTGTTCATGGGAGGGAGGGTGGGAGAAGGAAGGAAGGAGTGGGACAGACACAGAGAGAAGAGAAGAGACAGATAGAAACACCATTGCCTGTCTGGCATGGCAGCAGCCTCTGCCTGGGTCCACAGCTGTGTTAGCTGGAAAGTTCCTGGTTGGGGCTCCAGGTGGGAACTTCCACCGCATGGGAAGGGTGGTTTCCACAGCTGATGCCTGGGTCCACAGCCCCACCCAGGTCCACAGTGAATGCCTGATGCTGCAGGGCAGAAGCAGTTCCACCGACCTTCTTGGCACCACATGGCAGCCAGAGCTTCCAGCCATGCATGGGACGGATCCGGTGAGTTGGTGGCTGTCCAACCACAAGCCAGATTGAATCTGTTGATGGGCCAGATTTGGCCTGCAGACTGTATTTTTCCCACCTCTGCTCTAAAAGCTACCAAGAATTGAGCATATAATTATATAGGTGCTAATAAGGCACATAAAAGTAAAATAGAATTTTGGCAGGAGTCTACAAGTGCAGGGGCAGTAAGTTTGAAATATATAGCAGAACTAAAATACTTTTAAAAGCCCTTTCCTTGGAAAAAAAGTATAAGCTTTATTTCACTTGCTGTATCACTGTTCTCTCAGGGATAAAAATACACCATTGGTATGTGTACAATGTGGAAAAAAGTGCTTCAAGAAAGCTGGAAAGGATATTACATCAGACACACATCTGAGTATAAATGAAGCTAACCTGCTTGCAGTGTCTAGCTTTTACGTATCACTTTTCATCACCATATCTCAAAGCACTTGAAAAAGGAAGTTAGTATCATTATCCCAGTTTTATAGATAGGAAATTAAGGTATGGACAATGGAAGTCACTTGTTTGTGGTCACCCAGCAGGTCAGTGAGAAAGCCAGAAGTAAAATCCAGGTGTTTGATTCTCAGTAGAGTCTTCCATCCAGGAAAACACACTACAACATTTCTAATGAGAAAAAAAAAATCCAAAATTTTAAGAGGAAGAATTAAAAGCAAAGAATCAACATTTTATAAATGTTATAAGTACTTTACTTAAGTGAGTAAACTGACTTAAATTAATCTGAATGCAAGGTGTGTTGTAAAATCTGCTGAATTATTATAAATAGAGTTGTGTGAATAACTAAAGTTATTCTTAAAACTATAAAAATAGCTGGATTGATTGTGATAATATATTTATTTTACCTCCTATGGGACTGACCAGCCATGAATCAGATCCTCACTCTCCCTGATGCCTGATTTCTGGTAATTTGGCTTTGTCAATATTGCTCTATATCAGCGGTTCCCAAACTCTGACAGATTGCGCACCACCAGTTAAAAACAATACAATCTTAAGTACCACCAGCAAATTTTTGTTTAGGTTGTATGCGTACCACTGGTGGTACCCATACCACAGATTGGGAACCGCTGCTCTATATGTAAGATGGTAAGAAAAAACATGTGTGGCATATAGGAATAAATTCAGAAAATGCCATGCTATCCAGCAAAGCTGAAAAAGTCAGGCTAATTTTAACTGAGATGAAGGGAAAGAGTCAGGCTAATTTTAACTGAGATGAAGTGAAAGAGATGTTTTAAAGCAAAGGACAGTACCAATGGTGTTCTTTCAGTTTGCTAAATAGGATCTAGGTCATGCTTCCATGCAGTCATCTATTGCATCAGTGTGGCAAGAGCAGAGCTATGTATTTTTAGGCTGGTAAGTAGAGGTGGTAGATTTTAATATAAAATTTATAGTTTACTTCAGAAAATTAATACTAATACCCCTGGCTATAGTGCCTCATGGGAGTTGTAGGTTGCCTGTTTTAAATCTCCATTCTCTTCTATGATTTACTGTTGGACAACATTACCCTTGCAATTCAATGCCCCTGATCCTAGAAGTGACCCATCTGGTACATCATGGGAGATGTAGTCTGTTTAAGAAATAAACCCAGCTTAAAAGAAAAAAATGAGACTAGGAGTCACTTAAACTATTACTCCTTGACAGACTATTTCCAGATTTTTGTTTGTTTGTTTGTTTGTTTGTTTTCAGAATTTCAGTTTTAGCCAAACAATCAGTAGTTTCCATTGTAAATTTAGATTAAACTATTTTGTTTCATTTTCACTGAAATGGTCCATGGGAAAAAAATATAAGCTATTTGTATCTAAATCAAAGCTTTGAAGACCCATGCGCCTCTATGTAAGTGTAGTTAAAAGAGAGAACATGGCATTTTGGCCCAGGGTTTGGTTCTGATTGTCTTTCCCTTCCAGGTGAAGAGTGGCAGACTTGACGGGACAGGAAAATGAGATGTTTGCAAATGAATTCATCTTCCTGGGCCTTTCCAGAAATTGGAGCACCCAGCACTGGCTCTTTGTGCTCTTCCTGGCCATGTACATCATCACTCTGGCAGGGAATGCCCTCATTATAACTGTCATCTGGTTGGACCCACGCCTTGACACCCCAATGTACTTCTTCCTAGGAAACCTTTCCTTCCTCAACATCTGCTACACAACCAGTGTAGTGCCCCAAATGCTAATTCATTTCTTGGCCCAGCATAAGGTCATCTCCTTCAGCAGGTGCACAGCCCAGCTCTTTGTCTCTCTGTCTCTGGGAGGGATTGAGTTCATTCTCTTGGCCACCATGGCTTATGACCGCTATGTTGCCATTTGCAACCCTCTGCACTACACTGCCATCATGAGTAAAAGAGTCTGCATCCAGCTGGCAGCCAGTTCATGGGCAGTAGGTTTCCTCAGCTCCTTAGTGCAGACTGCCTTCACCATGCACCTGAGGTTCTGTGGCCTCCCTGCCCTCAACCACTTTGTTTGTGAGCTCCTAGCTGTTGTCAAGGTGGCCTGTTCAGATACTTATATCAATGAGGCTGTGATTGTGGTTGCTGGTGTTGTGGTACTACTGGTCCCCTGTTTCATGGTTCTAGTCTCCTACATTTACATCATCTCTTCCATCCTGCGTATCCACTCGTCACGGGGAAGATACAAGGCCTTTTCCACCTGCGCTTCCCACCTCACTGTGGTGACACTGTGCTATGGAACAGCCATCTTTGCTTACATGAGACTGAAAGGAGGCCATCTCTCAGCCAACCTGGATAAAATGATTTCTCTCTTTTATGCCATTATCACCCCCATGCTGAACCCCATCATATATAGCCTAAGGAACCAGGAAGTGAAGGGGGCCCTGGTAAAAACCATAGGAAAGCTCACCTCTCTGAGACAGTGAAGCCTAGATTTTCAACAGTGACCAGTGATTGTAAGGTGTTTGATTTGTATAGACCTTTTCAGAATACAAGTGCTCAGCCCTTTGTTAAATTCAGGTGCCTTTAAAGGTGTCTCAAGCTGGGATCCCAAAACTGAGTGTACCCAATAGCAAGACACTGTCATAATATGGACAGGCATCCTATTGATTCCAAGGAAAAAAACTTTTTTCCTGACATAAAAAGATAGCTATAGGTGTTCAAGGGTTTTTTCAAAGGAAGAAAAATATCTTTTTCATGAAAGAAGTGATGATACTTACCACCAGCAACTTCTCTCTCTGAAGAAGTTTTCTAGTATCTTCTTGATGGACTGTATGCTAGTCTTGAGGTCCTGAGGCCCTCAGTGGGCATGGCTGCATGTGTGCCAGACTGCACAGTTGTTACTTGCTTAAGTGAGTATTAAATGACTGCACAGTAACTGCTGTTACTGTACAGTCCTGATGCTGCATGGGTCTTTTTCAATGCTACTGCACAGTAGTTCATTGCTACTGTGCAGTAGCATTAGCATTGCAATTCATGCCTGCTGACTCTACGTCACTGTAGCAATGAGCTAAGGTGACAAAGCTCATTGCTACAACAACATAGCATCTCGTGTAGACACACCCAGTATCCCACAGTTCTCCACTGTCCCTCCCTCCACCTCAACAGAGGAGGAGAGAGGGAGAGCAAAGGCTTCCAATGGGTTACTCAGTGGCAAGCTGTCAGGGACTTCTGTGCGCACCCTGCTGCTGTGCTTGAACAGTGCCTAAAATGTTTAATTGTGGTGGCAATTCCCACTGCCACTTAAACACTTCCAGAAAGTCCCAGGACTGTTCACATGATGGATCTAATACCTTGCCCCCATTTAACAACCCAGGTCACCTCAGGTCTGTTCAAAGATGGCAGGCATTCACCCCAACAATGAACAGTCCCAGAGAAACTTAGGACTCTCCACACAGTGGTGCCACTTCCCTCTGCCCCAGGGTCAGATCTGGGTCTCTCTGGGTCTATGCAAGGGCTGAAGGGGCATAGCTCTGTGGCTTGAATGATCCTAAGGTCTCCCAAGGATGGCCCAAGCCATGGTATCAATACCTCCTACCCCTTGACGAGGCCAAGGGTGACTTGGGTCTGTTCAAGGGCTGCATGCAGTCCCCGCATCACATGCACAATCTCAGGTCTCCCTGAGACTGTTCATGTGGCAGAGGAAATTCCTTCACCATAAGCATAACTCTCTTTCCTTCTTCACTCATTGCTGTTCAACTGAATGGTGGATCAAGCAGACACTGGGCAGAGGTGGATTAGGGAAGTCCCACCTTCTACTACAAAAGTCCTGGCAAGAACTTGGGCCCTGGCAGTGGCACTATCAGGGGTGGAAGAAGCAAGGGGAGGAGTTCTTCTCACTCCTGCCATTCCTATGGGGACTGTCCTTGGCAGCTGCTGCTTTTCAGGAGCTGCCAGCTGCTCAGTGACAGCCTGCCCCCTTCCTCAGCTGGGAAAAAGGCATGCTGTTAATCATTAAGCTCCCCTAGGACTTGGGGTGGAGGATTCAAGGAGCAGCCCTCCTTTGCCCCTGGCTGGAGAATTTATCTTGAGGTGTCTGCTTAGCTCTTCAGTCAGGATCTGGAAGGTTGCTATTCCCTACTTTTCCAGCACTGAGAATCTCCCAATAATAGTTAGTGCTTGAACTGAACACGTATTCATAGTCTCAGTTTTTATTGCCTTCTCTTGCCTGAAATACAAACTGATATCATGAGTATTTTACTGTTTAAAATCTAACTTGCCATATCCTTTAGCTCAGGGGTGCTCAACATTCAGTCTGCAGGCTAAATCTGTCCCACAGAGCCATGGTCTGACCCACAGGTCTCCCCACAGGTCAGGAAACTTGGCAGTACCAAATTCCCAAACTCCATGCAGCCACCTTGGGGTCAAGCCATGTCCAATTGTGCTCAGTGGCTGGATTTGGCCTGTGGACATACCAGGCACTGCCCATCCAGCCAGTGGGGCAAAAATGTTGAGCTCCACTGCTTTGGCTTAAAGCAGGAGATGATACAGAAATTATAAACAGATATCACAGATTAATTCCTATGTCTGGAACTATCACAAAGGTAACCCCAAATCTCTCTCTTTCTCCTTTTTTCAAATTAGACTTTAATTTCTAAAACAGTACAGAAAATTCCCTGAAACTTAACAGACCAGGTATTAATTTCCAAATTTCAAACAAATGCCATTTTAGATAATCAGGAATAATAATAACAATGTCTGGCTCATATATAGTATGTTTAAATTAGGTCCAATGTTTTGAATTTTCAGTTGCACAGAGCATGCTCCAAGCCACCATTGAGCCCCCCCCCCCCCGCAGTATATATATGAATTACAGCTATGTAAGAGGATCCAGCTTACTTGGCCACAGACCAGTTTCCAGACGTTCTGGGGCTTTTTATTTTATTTTAGGGTTTAATTTTGTATTCATTGGGCATGTCTATACAAGATGCTTTACTGAGCAGTAGTGCAAATCACTGCATAGTAGGTGTCACCATCTATATGTGCAGACCTTAACTGCACAGTAACTTGCTCTACTTGGCAGGTAATTTGCTACCTGCAAATGCACGTAGCAAATTAACTGCCAAGTAATTAATGTGCAGTAAAGCACATATAGACAGCTGACCCCATGTAGGGAGCTACCTGCTGCTGGGGCAGTCTCTACCACCAGAGACCGGGCCTGGACAATATCCTCCTGTCCCGGCAGCTGGGAGCTCCCAGCCCCCGCTCTGCAGTTGTGGAGTGGGGGCTGGGGGATTGCTTACTGCCCCAGCTCTACTCTGTGATTACAGAGCTGAGACTGGGAGCTCCTGCATGGGGAGTGTTCCCCACCCAGCCTGGAGCTATAGTAGGGACCTGCCCCAGACTGGGACAGTTTCTGGCCAACCCTGAGTTGTGCAAGGCAGTCCATATGCACAGCCTGGAGCTGGTTGGGGACTTCCCTATTTTGGGCAGTCCTCAGCCAGCTCTGGGCTGCATATGCAGACTTCTCTGCATACCCCATGGCTGGCCAGGAATTGTCCCAGTCTGGGTCAGGTCCCAGCCCCACATCTTTTTCCCAACCCTGTGCCCTGATTGAGTTATTGAGGCATGGAGCTTGGAAAGAGCTGTGGGGGATGGGCAGGTCCCAGCCTGCTGCCCTGATCCACCAGTAGGGCAGCTAGCAGTGCGTCCCCAGCTGGGGGCAGAATCCCTGCCCATCCAGGGGCCCACTCTGGCAGCAGGCAGTTCTCAGGGGCAGTGAGCAATCTACCAGCCCCTGCCAAGAGACAGGTGTGTCCTGGCCTCATGCTCCCTGCCAGCTCCTGAGCTAGCATCCAGGGAGAGTTTAAAGCTGCCCCTGGCTGCTAGAGGAGGCCAGTGCAGGGCCAGAGCAGGTGGGAGTAGACCGGGGTGGGCAAAATGTGGCCTGCAGGCTGGATGCGGCCTGCCAGGCCATTCTATCCAGCCTGTGGGGCCCCTAAAAATTTTAGAAAATTAATATTTATCTGCCCCTGGCTGCCTGTTATGCAGCCCTTGATGGCTTGCCTAAACCCAGTAAGCGGCCCTCCGCCCAAAATAATTGCCCACCCCTGGAGTAGACTCTGGCGAAAACCCATCCAGCAGCATTTGCAAATGTAGATGTGCCCACATAACAATAAGTAACAATTTTTGCTGAAAAAAATTAACAAATAAAAAAATCTGAAAAAAAAATCCTTCAGAAAAAGAATTTAGATTTTTTTTAAATCAGTGCTGCCTCTACTAAAGGCAAAGGAGCTTTTCGTCACCTGCTTGTTTAAATTTATTCTAACAATGCAGTTGATCCAATAAAAGATATCACCCTCCAAAAATGTGTGGCTTTTCAAGCAAAATAGAATCACCACAGAACATATGTACCCAGAGGAGCTCCCTTCTGAGCATGCTCAAAGGACAAGTCAAGTTACACAAGGAAAATTAGGATGTGAAATCCATCTATATGTGCACACGCTTACCACACAGTAAACTTTGCTACTCATGAGAAACTTTGCTACCTGCAGCTGCAGGTAGCCCTCCAGGCAGCAGCAGAGTTTGCCCCCACACCATTGAAGCTTAGGGTTCGATGCCAGGTATGCAGTGTGCCTAGGGCACCATGGCGATCAGCAGTAGCAGGGCATAGTGGGTCAGTCACCCCTTGGTCTGCACAAACAGCTCCTCATGCAGCATTCAGGACACACAGCAGGGGCATGCTCAGAGTGCAGTGCTGGCATGGGTGCTGTGGGCTCATGAGCTTGATGGCAGCACAGGAGCCTGGAAGGCCTGCAGGATGAGAAGGATGGGCAGTGGGCTCTGGAGCCATGGCAGCAGGTGCTGCCAGGAGCCTGTCCTGTCCTGCCCTGGGAACGGAATGGGATGGGGGGAAGGCTTCCTGCACCCAGCAGCCTGTCAGACCATAGGGAGTGAGCAGGGAGGTGGGGCTTGGCCAGCAGCTGCCTGTGCCTGGGCCTTTCTGGCTGACTTACCATGGTCCCTGAACGCATGTGCATGTCCAATTCCCAGTCTGAGGCCAGGCAGCTCATGGCCCCGGTACAGAGCATGTTATCTCAGAAATTTTGCAAATTCTCACAAAAAGCCTATTTCTCATGTCTCTGCAGGTCCTGTAGCTGCATGCAGGGAGGAGGCTGCAGCTGGCAGATGGGATGCAGCCTCAGGGTCACCACTGCCCACAGCCAGGGCCCTGGGGATGTGCCAGCTCCACAGGAGGAGGACTCAGAATATGACCCTCCTCCTGGACTGGCTGGTGATAGCCACAGAGGACTGGCAAATGGACATGCGGATGTGTCAGGTGGATGATGCTGACCAGTGTAACAAGAAGCCCCTTCTTGTTTGAACCCCGCCATTTGGGGCATTTCTTTTTCCTTCTGAGTATTGGCAGAGACCTAGCACACTCATTGCATGGGTGTGGCAAGGCTTGGAGCAAGTCAGAAAGCTG